CTTCCTTCCTTCCTTCCTTCCTTCCTTCCTTCCTTCCTTCCTTCCTTTTTCTTTCTTCCTTCCTTCCTTCGTCTTTCTTTCTTTCTTTCTTTTTCTTTCTTTCTTTCTTCCATCTATCCATCCATCCTATCAATCATATCTGCTGGTAATACGTTGGACAATAGTGTGGGATTGTAAAAATGACCTTGCAAACTGGGGCGCCTGGGTGGCTCGGTTGGTTAAGCGTCTGACTTTGGCTCAGGTCATGATCTCGTGGTTTGTGGGTTCAAACCCCGCATCAGGCTCTGTGCTGACAGCTCGGAGCCTGGAGCCTGCTTTGGATTCTGTGTCTCCCTCTCTCTCTGCCCCTTCCCTACTCATGCTCTGTCTCTCTGTCTCTCTCTCTCTCAAAAATAGATAAACATTAAAAAAAATTTTTTAATGACCTTGCAAACTGAAAATGCACAAGGCAATTTTAATAATCAAGTGGAAAAATTTGTTTTATCAGCGACCTTTACAATTTTTTGCTTAAACATTAAAAACTCTCTTAATTTCAGTCATAAGTATGTAGGGAAATGAAAAAAAGCAGTAAAACTCTCTTCAGTACTTTATAATTTGAAACAGAAATATCGAGAACTAAAATGCTTTGGCCCTTTATAAAAAACGTGTCAGGAGTAGTTTGAACCGTGCTTGCCGCCTTCTCATCGAGTAACTTAAGGAATGAAAATCTTCTCGGCCATGGCAAACTGCTGTACTTCTAAGTTTGGGTCACCTCCTGACCTGTCCCCCTTTGTGCTTGCATTGTTATGAAATATCAGAGCATTCTTTTAATGTGAAATTTATTTTTTTTAACAGATGTCACCTCCTCGAGGACAACTCGATCCTTTTCATCACGACTAGCCTCTTCATGTTTGTTGGTAAGCTCTCTTGTACTACGTTTTTATTGGTTATACGTCCAGAGTCTCTCAAATGGTCATAGTGTCAATGTTCCCGTGGTCAACCATGCGTGGATGATTCCGATTTAACTTCCAGTGCTAGCACTTTTCGTTTCTCTGCTCTACTTTCCTCTTCGTCGGCTGTTTCCCACCCGATTATGCATTTTGTAAAAAGTTTTGTGGGGCTTTCCCTGGGAGATAAGGGAGCCGTGGAATGACACGCTTTTCTGTCTGTATGTGCACGGAATAACAGATGTACAGTGACTAATCGCCGATAGGCTTCGAAAGAAGTGCCACGGTTGGTCACTGAATGGGGTGTACGTCTCTTTTTTACATAGAGATTTGTGGGCTAAAGAGCTAGCAGCAAAGTTTACACTTGAAGCAATTACTCACATCTGATATATTACAGTAACTGAAATTTGAACCTTGTTGTTGAAAGCTGGTGGTATTTCACTAAACCATGATAGCTGAAATTTGTGTATATTGGAATCCTGCAGACAAGGATTGTTTCTGTGTGTGTTTTCCTTTTATGGAATCCTCTCTCTGGTCCTCCGATCATTTCCCCTCCTGGGCTGTTACTACTGCTACAGCCCGTATAAAATGAACCCCATGAAGCCCTTTATTTATTTGGCTACAATGTGTCTATGACATAAGCTGGGACAGGTTTGAGGGAAATAAGCATCGTTACTGAGAGAAGTCCATAAAATATTTACCTCTGGCAATTGGATAATGCTTTGAATTAGAGAAGGCTAAAAACATACTGCACAGTGCAGGGAGAGCCATCCACCCAAGTGCATCTACACCATCTGTATGCATGGATGTGATCGTATTCCAATTTAAGAGTAAAATTCATTACTTGAGATAGTATAACTTGAAGCTAGTTAATTACTGGATTTGAAAAAAGAGCAATGCTGGTATTCACAAATAAATTAGATGTGACTCTGGTGTGTATACAGAGTAAATTACAACAGTTTCAAACTATACTTTAATGGATAAGATTTCTCTTGGGTTATCTGTAGTAGAATCTAGATTTGTGGGTTTTAAACTTTAAAACGCATTTGCATCACTGGGGGTCTGCAATTTCGTAGTTTTAACTACTTCCCAGGAAATGCTAACGTAGATGACCAGACATTGAGTATCAAGAATCTAGCACTACGTAGATGTTGCTGTAAACGTTTAGGAAGTCAGTGGCTTTAGCGAATAAAACTGTGCCATATTTAAAATTGCTTTGACTCTTTTCCACTTTCCAAGTGGAAACTACGCACTGTTAAGAACAAACTTTGGACCTTTCCTAGCTTTTAAACTTCTGCCTTGGGTTTGCCTTTCCTTTCAGTACCTTCTGAAAGCTTTCTCTTTCTTTACTCCTACATGATGGCCTTCCATTCATTCACCAGCTCACCAAATCAGACTTTAGTCTGGATGTGAACTTCTGACAGAGACTTTCTAAATGTACATCAGGACCTCCTTGCAGTCAACTGTGTGATGTGCGTATAAGATCTTGTAATGTGGAGCTGACTTCATGCACGTCTTCCCTCCTTTGGTTTCTGGAATATCACTGCTCTTGTTTCTTCTCCCACTTTTATGGGGCTACCCTCTCCATCTCGTGCACGAGCTCCTCAGTTCAGCCCCATCAGTGCTCTCCTGCCCTTCTAACAGACCAGCGGCTCCTGCCACCATCTCCTCTTGGCTCTAGTTGCCATGCATATTTCAGTGACTCCCAATTTTTGATCCTTCTACCTCCAAGACTCATAGGTTCACTCCCATAGTGACCTTGGGCAAGTTTCCTAACTATCCTGACCCTCACTTTCTACCTCACCGTGTTCTTGTGGGGATTAAACAATTCTACTTGTAAAATGCCTGGAAGAGTTCCTGGCATCTAGCAAAGGGGTGCAAAATGCAAGCTGGTAAGCATCTGTTGGAATTTTGAGCAACAAAGAGGCTGTATGCCACACGATTTAGGTGTCTACTTAAGTGCCTTGAATAACGATCATGAGATTCCTCTGAGAATATTGCCCATTTCTCCGCATGACAGATTAGCAGGTTGCAGTAAACTATATCAATTTGAATTTATTTCTTTGGAAATGTCCCATCTTCTAGTTTGACTCAAATGCACGTAGTAACAGCTGATGCCATGGGTGCATCCAGCCTGTGGGGGTCACAGATTTCCTTGGTCATATTCTCACTGTGGGCAGCTCTCTTCCATTTGAAGCCATGTGAAGCACAGTCGTCCATTTTTACTGAGGACTGTATCATCCCTCAAACATTTGTTCTTATTGATGGAATTTTTGGAATCTCGCGCTTTGGAAAATACCTTAACTAATTTTGAGTTTACCATTCTATTCCTTTATAAAAAGAAAAATGTAATATTATCCTCAGACATAGCCTGAAGAATTTCAGTCTGAGAAATGAGCCTGATAGCCAATTTCTAAACTACACACATTTAGTGCATTTAATTCAACACATATTCGTTGAATATTTATGAAGCATCATCATCGGAATGTAACTCTCGCTGGCCTCGAATTTTTCATGAGAAGGAGGCAAATATATGAATAAAGAATTATAGTCAGATGTGTTAATTTCTCCATGGTAAATATTAGTAGAACACATCATAGGAACCCAAAGGAGAAGACAGCCAATCTGTCCAGAAAAGTTAGAAGAATTTTCACAAAGGAAGTCGGATCGGATCTACTGGAGAAATCTCCAGGAGTGAAGAGGAGAGAGAATTCTTCAGATGTGGAGAAGAGAGCATATGCAAAGACCTCAAACCCAACAGGGCCCTGTGGGCTTGGGCAATATGTTAAATTCTGTAGGTTCACACCAGGTTCGTTGTGGGGGCCAAGTGAAAGCAACAGTGGAGGCCTAGCCTGTGGCCCACACCCTTTATCTTCCTCTCTCTAGACTTGTTCCTCCCATGGGCAGCCTTCTGGGAAGATGTGTGAACCCTTGAGCCTAGGGTTCAACATGTGCTCCCCATCTGCCCTAGAGAACAGACTCCTTACACTGGCCTTGGAACAGGGTATAGGGTCATTGAGGCAGGGAATTCCAAGGTTCCAGGTCTAGGAAGATGAAGGCATAGGTCCAGGAGAGGAACATTCCTTTGCTCTAAGGAAAGAAAGCCAGAGCAGGACTTTCTACAGTTCTGTCTGGGGCAGAGAATGGATGGAGCCCAAGTTCCATATGATTCATAAGTTGGTCACTTGGAGAAGGTTGGATATGGAAGATGAAGCCCAACTTGTGGATTAGAAGCAGACTGTGATTCGTTTTGATTTTAAAAATATATAATGGTCATTGTCTCCGACTATAATTAGTGGAATCTAATTTTACTGTCTAGGATCAAAAAGTTCAACCTGAAAAATTATACTGCTCGGTTTATAATGTGGTTGTGAATGAATTATTGATCAGTAGTGTTACTCATTTTCAAAGAATTAGAATGCCAGGGACTATACTTTAGCCAAAAGTTGTGTTAGACAGAATTAAATCTCTTCTCTCCAAATTTGATTGTTGCTAGCACTTCTAATCTTGCAGTGATTCAAAAATATAAGCATAACCTATTAGATGCTGGTAATCTCAAATTAAAGAACAGTGCCTTGTAATTGTGCTGTGCTTATCCTTATTATATGTGCTGATTTAGTCTATATATGTGAAGTAAGAGTGCTTATATTTCGTAAATCTTAAACTTCATACCCATGAGTGAGGTCTAGCAAATACCTAGCTAAAACTTTCCATCAAGGCAGAAAGTTGGAGGTGAAGAGTTATATACCATAGAATAATCACATTTCAAGAGTTTTTCTCTTCCCTTTCCTTTCCTTTCCTTTCTTTTCTTTTCTTTTTTAATGTTTGTTTATTTTTAGAGAACAAATATGATCAGGGGAGGGGCAGAGAGAGAGAATCCCCAACAGGCTCCGCACTGTCATTTCAGAGCCTGACCTGAGCCAAAATCAAGAATCAGACGCTTAACTGACAGAGCCACCCAGGATCCCCTCAAGAGTTTTCCTTTAATGTAAGTCAGGGAAAGACAAATATCATATGATTTCACTCATATGTGGAAATTAAGGAATAGAACAAAAGAACAAAGGGAAAAAAAGACACAAACCAAAAAAGAAACTCTTAACTATAGAGAACAGTTGCACGGATGGTTACCAGAGGGGAGGTGGGTGGGGAGTGGGGTAGTAGATGATGGGGATTTAGAAGTGCACTTCTGATGAGCTTTGGTGATGCTTGGGAAGTGTTGAGCCACTATGTTATACCTGAAACTAATAGAACACTGTATGTTAACTATACTGGACTTAAAATTTTCAAACAGTGCTTTTTTAATTTCGTTCACCAGTTGCAGTGTTTCTTAGAGTCATTCTGATTTATATCTCAAACTACTTTTCATCGTAGAACATGACTCAAATTTACAGTAAGTCTACTGTGTTTGCTAAGAAATCCTGCGGCTGCTTAATGACACCATCGGGAAATAAAACAGAAAAAAACAGTTAAAGAGAAGTGGGTCAGGCAGGAACTGAAGGAAAAAAAGAAAGGAGAACAAAAAGGGATAAGAAATTGTGTGCACTAGATAGTGTTGGGTGAGAAGGTGGTAACTGCTCAAGTTGTCCCTTAATGACCAGTCACCATATGTGTTTACCTCTAATGCATTTTACAGATGGGCAGAACATTCAGGATTAGGACACAAAAGCTTTTTCTATAAAGCTTCAACTTCCTGGAGACAGTAGGCATTAATAAATTAAAATTTAGTGACACATTGATAAGTAAAAGTTAAAAAAAATAAAACCCCAAATATGAAAATCATGCCAGGAGCGCCTGGGTGGCTCAGTTAGTTAAGTGTCTGATTTTGGCTCAGGTCATGATCTCATGATTTGTGGGTCCACCCCTGCATTGGGCTCTGTGCTGACAGCTCAGAGCCTGGAGCCTGCTTCTGATTCTGTGTCTCCCTCTCTCTCTGCCCCACCTCTGCTTGTGTTCTGTCTCTCTCTCTCAAA